ACCAACTCAGGCATCATCAATGACACCAGATCAGGATGTAACACAAAAACTGTGCAAGCTCTCAAGGATCCAAACATACGCTTGCCAGTATTGCCTTGGTGACTGCTTCTTCCCCATTCTAGTGAACGTCTGCCTTCCTTCATGTGATTGTATGCAGTGCTCTTGCAAGCACATTGGAACCTCCATGATGCAATGGAAGATCAGTCTGCTGATCTTGCAGTCTGTTTTACAGACAATTCAAATGATTCCAAAGCACAACTCTGGGTCAAGAGTCTGGACTTGCCATCTCTAACTTTGTGCTGCAATTCACAGGCACCCAGAATGCCTTCAAGACTCAGGAAGAAATTAGAGATCAGCACACCCATCTTGGTTGAATTAGTGAGAGTCATCAAAGAGCAGTATGCCAGAGATTGCCAGCCCTCCTCATGCTCTCCCACTCCGCTTTGCTATCAGAGAAGTGGAGAGATGGGAAAGATTATTTGCAAACATAAAGAATGGCCAATACATTATTCCAACATCGATTGAAGGCCAAAATATAAGTAGTCCTGTTTATTCTCAGAACAAAGTCATCATTGATGACAGCCACCTCCAACATGGTACTCTTCAGATGTGTTGAACTGCAGCTCCCACAATTACCAGCCAGCATGGCCAATGGCTGGCAACTAGAGAGGTACAGTCTAACACATCTGGATGGCACCAGTATGGAGAAGGCTGACTTATGGTCCTTCCGAAATTGTTTCAGCTAAAGGTGAAAACAGCCTTATCCAAATGGCATCCTTCAGATACTATGAAAAGCAATCCCCAGAATCTTTGGTCTTTGGCTATGCTGGCTGGGGCTGAGAGGAGGCAAAGTCCAGTACATCTGGAGGGCACCAGCTTGGCGAAAGAAGGTATAGGACCTGACTCATCTCAGCAGAATTCTTACTATGGAACACTTATCTGTCCTCTCCAAGTTCATAGTGATAACAGTGGGAAGGAGAAGTGGCCAGCAGCTTAGCTCTCCATCTGGGAGCTTGTGGGACCATCTAGCAAAACCCCTTCTTTGGCAGTAGAGCTTCACAGAGATATTTGGCTCTGGCATCAGTTGTACTCCAAGTAGAACAAGGCAACTGGGAGTAGCTACCCTTTAAAATTTCCCAGGTCAGGTTAAAGGAATGGTGGGAACTTAAAATGCTGGCAAGATCAACCATTTGGATCTGCCTGGAATGCCAAATGGGGGGAAATGGGCAGGAATTAGCAGCGGACTCTGCCAGCCGCCCAAGGAAGCCAGGTTCTAGCACCACCCCTTGGACTAGTTCCAAAGAATGAGACTCCTTCTGAAGGCATATTGGCTGAAATTATCCCTTATCCTGGAGTCAGCACTCTCAGGGAGCTTTCAGAGAAAGCTGATGTGAACATTACCCCAACTCTATGGATATTTTTAGTTATCTTTCAAGATCATTTATTACAGCTTGTACGTAATCTTAGCTTGGGGTCATTATTATTGATTTCTGGATCTGAATTCCCGTAGAGCGTGCAGGCTTCTGAAAGCTCCACCAAGGTGCACATATACTATTACAGTTGAGAACATGTGTATCTTTAGGCATGAATTATCATTATTATCATTTCTTACTCTATTTGTTGCTGTGCTACCAGATGCTATAATCATAGGCTGGGCTAGCACTGAATGACACGTTGTTCAAACATGTAATAAAAAGATCATTTGCGGTTCAATCAACTCACAATATTATAAAGTGGTACCAACTTCACTTGCAAGGAAATAGTTTTTCAAAAACATTTTTGGTTTTATATTGATCTTGACAGGTTTCCTTTCTCTTGGCAGGAGAATAAACTTTCCTTTTTTGAGCCCAACAAAACAAGATTTCAATAGATTTATGTTCTAATCTGATGCTACAGGGGTTACTCCTGTACCCATATTTCGATCAACACAGAATTATGGCTGACTCCAAAGTGCCAAATCATAAATATATTCAGATGCAGAATATCATGAGACCTGCAAATTTCAATTTCAAACTCCAAACAGGAGGAGAATGAGTACAGAAGTTGTGGTCGCTACAAGTACGGGCAGTTCCTGAGTAACAAACAATCCATACTTAGAAATGAACTGCCATAAAGCTTATTTTTTTTAAAATACTGCAGAAAATTGTCATCACCATAGAGAGAGGAAGTGAAAGGGGAGGGGAGGGGCCTCCAAAGCATCTCCACAGAGAGAGGGAAAGGGGAGCGGGGGGCTCCAAAGCACTCCTGCCTCATCCATCGAGAAAGGGAAACCTCTCTGGTATTTCTTTGCTGTAAAGAGGAGGCATTGGTACAAAATAGAGCTGCCAGGTTGCTGACGTGGACTGGTCGTTATTCTCATATAACCCCAGCCCTCTATCAGCTTCACTGGCTCCCAATTGAAGTCCAGGCCCAATTCAAGGTGCTGGTTTTGACCTATAAAACCCTAAGCGGCTTAGGTCCAGAATACCTGAAGAATCGCCTCCTTCCCTACAAGCCCTCACGCCCCTTAAGATCGGTGGGGAAGTCCTTGCTCTGGGAACTCTCTCTGAAGGAAGTACGGAGGGTGTCTACCTGGAGGAGGGCCTTCTCTGCAGTGGCGCCCAGACTATGGAATATGCTCCCCAGAGAGGGCCACCTGGCGCTGACATTATACTCTTTCCGGTGCCAGGTAAAGACCTTTTTATTCGACCATTATTTTAACAACCGATGCTTTTAGATGTTTTAAGATTTTTCTCTACACAGTTGCACTTTCTTCCCCCCTCCCCGCTCCTTTTCTTAAGTTTTGATGTGTTCTATATTATTTTAATAATTGATGTTTTATATTGTACTTTTATATTTTGTAAGCCATCCTGAGCGCTTGGCAATAGGATGGGATATAAATGCCTGTAATAAATAATAAATAAATAAGTTGGTGAGTTTGAGGGGTGCTGGGCTACAAATATTCAGTTTTTCCACTTTCACAGGGGCCGAGCCTCTGCTATGCATACTTAAGTCCTACTCTGTTCAGTTGGGCCCAGTTCCAGTTAAATGTATACAGTATGCCCCACTGAACTCAATGAAATCTACTTCTCAGTTGACTAGCCTAAGCATGGGCTGACGCAGCTGGAACAAAATTTGGCAAATCAAATTTTACTCAGAAAAAGGAAAATAACCACACGTGATGTAAGAGATCACTCAGACTGAAGTGTGCAAGCCAGAGGCTGCACAATTTTTTATCTGCAGGCAACAGCTCTGCAGTGTGAATCACATATTAAACACAAGTGTGGGCTCCTTGCCCAAGTATAGCTCTACCATTATAATCTATATTAAATCTGTAACCTCCAATGAGTCCTGGGTAGCATGAGGAAGATAATCCTTTTCCTTCCTTCCTTCCTTCCTATCTATCTATTATATTTTTAGACTACCTTTTTCCCTTTCAAGCCTTTTCAAGCAGCGTACAAATTCTCCTCTCAATCTTTTTCTCTGTGAGTCAGGCTGGAATGCGAGTCCAACCTACCCTCTGAGTCTGGAAAACTACTAGGTGAGCATCCACAAGACATCTAGCATGCTTAGTGATCAGGTAGGAGCGTTCTGCAGCCAGGTCCCCCTAGGGAGTCCCCTCTATTCACTACAGCACACAGGAACTTTAAGACTGGCCTATTTAAAAGAAGGAAAGTATTATATATCTTATTAAAGCCATGCTAAAAGGAAGTAGGAGAAAATATTCTCTGATAATTTCAAGCTATTTGCATGTAAACTGGGGGAAATCTTAGCTCCATTCAAGTCAACAAGTAAACTTCCCCCTGACATCCCAAAGGATTTCTATCTGGCAGACTTTTAAAGCAGGAAAAGCCTGTCTTGCTGGGGGCGCAAGAGGTGCACTGAAACAATGCTTTGGTCTCATTCCACTAGTGGTACTCACTTTCCATATTCAGTGTAGGCCAGCCTTCCCAACCTGGCGTCACCAAGTATGTTGGACTACAATGCCCATCAGCACAGCCAACATTAGCTATGTGGGCTGCGAATGTGGGTTGTGTGTAGTCAAAACACATCTGGATGGTGCCAGGCTAGGGAGGGCAAGTTGGATAGGATTTTTATGCATTCCTGAAGACAACCTCCTTTTCTGAGCTGTACATTCTTATGGATCCATCTGATGATAGAATAAACGGAGGGGAGGGGTTTCTTAGCATATTCATCGTAATTTTACCATATTTCTTAATTTAAAAGGTTGCGGGAGGAGGAATAAGAGTTGTAATAAGTGCGGAATAAAATGCATGCCACTTGGAAATCACAACCACAATCGCAAACTCGAACAGCTGTCCTGGGCACGTCTAAATCCTTCAGAGTTCAATCGGACTTGCTCGCAGGTAAGTGTTTACACTGCGGCACGGAACCTTATGTGCTTCCTCTGTCTGAGACGGCAGTCTAAAGAAGCAACCTTACTCCGAAGTCATCAAACGGAATCGGGCGACTCCACAAGTGGCTGGAGGGAGATTAACGTGTACGGCCACGAAGGCTGAAGGTGGATGCAGCTGTACCGGCAACATCTCATGCCAGCTTCGGGTAAAATAAAGACACCCCCCGCCAGCAAGCCTCCGAACAGTAGCAACGGAACACCCATTTGCCATCCCCACGAGCGCTGGGACGCGTAGAATTAAAAATCAACTACCGAAGCCTGAATGTAAGACACTAAAACTGAATCTCGGCCTTCAGGCCGTTCTTCTGGTTGTTCAGAAACGTCTTTGGGTCCTTTACCCGCAGGGAGATGTCTGGAAAAGTCCTCTGACACTTCCCTTTAGCTTGAAGGAGGACGTGAAGCACCTCCGTAACCCCCCGCTGCAAAGTGGAGCCCCACTGAATACAGGAGTGTGGCTTGGACTGCAGCCGAAACTAGATAAAACTCCTTCGCCACCCCGCGCGCATTCCCAACCACAAACAGACGGGCGAGGAGACAGGGAGGAAGGCAAGCACTTCTTTCGCTCCGCCAACCCACGTTTTTCCCACCCAAACATTTTTCTTACCTTGTACTTCATTCTGGCAGGCTCGGGGAGGGCTCCTCTTTTCCTGCCTCTGAGAAATTACTTCGACGGCATCGAGACCTCGCGGGCTTTACACTCCATTTGATCGCCGCCTCAACCGAAAATAAAAGCAACCCGACGAGCTGCGCGACAGCGCACAGCGAGCCTTCCGAAGCGTAATTCCTGCAGCCGCGGCGGCGCTACGCCGCTCGCAGCAGCTCTGAGCGCATTGTTGGACTCATTTGCATAGCGTCCAGCTATTGGCTGCATGGCCTTACGCGCGGGGCGGCGATGTCCTACCGTCCCCCCCCGCCCCTTAGGAATGAGTACTTAACATTTGCGACCGCGCGGAGTGAAAGCGTGCATTCAAAGGGCCTTTCTTGAAATCAGCTCCTCTAAACGGGTGCAAGGCCCTGCAAAAGCCCTACCTTTTGGTGACCTGGAACCGGATTTGTTACTTAGCCTTTCCCTCTTGGTCGTTGCGGCAGCAGGACCTTTGGAACAGGACTCTTGCTGTCTGTTTGCAGCTTCAGCCGTCGCTTGTTCTTGTTAGGGCTGCGCTTTGGCCTTCCAAGTCGCCGTCCACTAAGCCCCCATCCCCTTGGAAGGCTTTATCGTGGCCTTCGAGAGGAGCCATCCTGCCTCTGGGAATCCGTGCAAGCTCATCTCTCGCTCGGAATACATAGGATCGCTCTTGTCACTGACCCGTACCCGTGATAGTGACAGAAGGAGGGATACCAACCAGCAGATCCCTGCAGCTCTTTGTGAAGTTTATGGAGCGTGTGAAGCTGTAGATGAGCTTCTCGGATATTGCCTGATGCAGAATGCCGAATTCCAGAGCCTGGGTACTGCAGACTTTTCTTTGGCGTTTGTTCCTGCTTGTAAGGATCTTAGAAGTGTGATTCTTGAAAGTTACGGAGCTTTGTTAAAGTGTATCCTCTTGTGGGAATTCTTGGTGCATCTATTTATACCTTGCCTCTTTTTTTGTTCTTGCAAGGAGTCAAAGGTGGCTCACATACTGTACTACTCTCCATTTTATCCTAACAACAACCCTATGGAGTAGGTTAGACTGAGGGTCAGTGACTGCCCTAAGTCAGCCAGTACTTTCATAGCTGAGCAGAGACTCCTGATCTCAGATCTCCTGAGTCTTAGTCCTGCACCCTAACCATTGTTCTACACATGCTGTTTTAATTACGTGTAGTTGTGGGTTTTTGTGATTTTCAGTAGGTGGTGATCATAGGTCCATGTTTGGCCTTTCCCTGCCATTAAATAAAACAGAAGAAGAAGAGGATGAGGAGGAGGGGGGAAGTTCAAAAATCTGACTCAGTTTTTTAAACAATCTTTTATTAAATAGGTTCAAACAAGTCATTCCCTTGGAAACAAGAAATATCACTGTTGAATATAGTTAGGCTTGTCTGTGTATGCTTAACAAGGTTCCTGTAAAGCTTGAGGGCTACTTGTTGCCCATCCCAAGACCATTTGCACACCCTGCCCACATGCCATGTTGAATTAAAACTGCTGTGCCATAGCGGTTCTGCTGGGCAACACGGCCCGTGGGAGACTTGTTTTGCAACAGAAAAGCAATGTTCAGTGGGCTGCTGTTGGAGCTGGATAATTCCAGTGATGCTGCAACCCATTCCAGCTGTGACCAGGTGGGGGTCCCCAGAAAGTTTGGGGGAGCAATGCAGCCACCTCAAGCCTCCGGTGTTGCCCGTTCATGTTGCATTATTTCCTAAACTTGTGATAACCAAGGGCAATTCAGCTCTGAAACAAATGGGAGGTAGCTATAGGACCTGATGCCCTCCAGATATTTTGCACTATACCTCCCAGCTTACCTGATGACCAGCCATGTTGGCCAGAGCTGAAGGGAACTGAAGTCTAAAATATGTGGAAAACACCACTCAGAGGTTGATGACCTAACATGCCTCGAAGAAGCCCATTCCATTTTTTGCAAGAAGCACAATTCCAACAATGTGCCTTCATTGGAAGAGGTACACAAAGAACAAGATACTCTTGGAAAGCTGGAGGGAAGCCTCCAATCTGCTAAGCCCAGCCCCAGACACAATCCAAAGAACTTGCAAAGCACTGGAGCAGGGATCTGGGCATGAAAGGGTGCTGCTGCCCAGCTGAAATTCCTGCCTTGATATTCCTTCTTGTTGGAGAGAGCCCATAGCAGGCCTGGGTGAGTGGCCTCCCTCCAGTGCTTGGGGATTCTTTACTTCTAGGGAGATCCAGCTAAATGTAGCCCTGGTGGTTCTCCACAAAAAAGGGAGCTGGAGTCCTCCCAGTCCCAGACTTAGCAGCTCCTGGCAAGAAGGTGAGTCGTTACTTTATGCCTCTGTGCCAGGAATTACTCCATGCAAGAACTGCCCAGCGCCCACCCAACTAGTTGATCAGAAGGCGGCAAGTAAATAACCAAACCAGGAAATGGTGCAGAGACAGAAGCAGTGGGCACCTACATCCTTTGTAGATGAGATGCTCCGGCCTCACCAGAACCCCGAGCTCTCATCCATCAATTGAATGGATTTGTTTCTCAGTAGGAGAATGGATTCATTTCACGGTAGGGCAGCTCTTTCATGGCAGCACAAAGTGCTACTTCACTGCACAGTTCAAGAATGACTCCTGTAAGGACTGGAATTGAAGTATGTTAAGCAGTGTGATGGAGCCATCCTCTAAATCTTTTTGTTCCTGTAAGACCCTTTGGAAGCTCTTTGAAGGGCTTGTACTCTTCCACGAGCCCAGAAGATCATGGAACCTGGATTTCTGAGGCACGCCTTTCTCCTTGTCACTGAGTTGTCCACAGGGGCACTCCTGGTGGTCTCACATAGGTCGGAGATCTGCTTAGAGCAGGACCTTTGGTGCGATGGCTCCCATCCTGTCAAATTCCTTTCCAGCTGAGAAAGGGCACGTGCCTACATTACTTTGGGTTTGCCAGTTGCTGAACACATCTTTTTGGGCAAGCACTGCCTGATGAATGATGAAATCACAGCCACAGTTTTATTGCTGTTTCTCCTTTTATTATTGGCATATAGTATTTTAGTTCATTACACCCTGCTCTGATACCGTTTCATGTGGAGTGGGCCATAAATTCCCTAGTAATACCTCTTGACTGCACCCACGGTATTTTTTGCTGCATGCACTGCAGCTCCTCGCCATGGGTACATGCAGCAACTGTGTGTACCAACTGAGAGCCAGCGTGGTGCAGTGGTTAAGAGTGCGGGTCTGGGACTCAGGCGAGCTGGGTTCTAGTCCCCAGTCGGCTGCGGAGCCAACTGTGCGACCTTGGGCCAGTCACGGCCTCTCAGCCCTACCTACCTCACAGGGCTGTTGTTTTGGGAATAAGACTGAGAGCAGCAGGAAGAGAATAGCATAACTCCCTCTGAGTTTTTTAGAAAAGAAAAAGGTAGGATATAAACCTAATAGATAGAGACAGGTATAGGATGGATATTCTTCATCTTCTACAAATTATTTGTGGGAATCTTGCAACAAATGAAGCAGATGTCTGTAATCCAGTCCCTTGAAGACTTAATTGCTCTCCTTGAGTATCTATTTATGCTACAAAAGGTGGGGCCGTAGCAGATATTTTGCATGCCAAAGGTCCCAGTTTGGCCCCAGCATCTAGTTTGACAAATAATCTCCTGGGATATAAAGTACCTTCCTGTGTAATGGCTCCATCCTAATGCAATGCCTGTAAGCCTTTGAACTCAAAGGCCTTTAGTCACCCCTGTGCAGAGCAGGAAGAAGGGTAGTGGTAATTTTTGCCTTTCTGCCCCTTTTTGTCCGTCTAGCAGGACCTCCTGGAGGGAGAGGGAAGGATGCTGGAGAGGCTTGGGTTAGTTTGTATCCAGTCCTCCCCTCCCACAGTCACCTCCCTTGCCATCCACAAGAACATGCCCCTTTCTCCTTTTCCAAAGTCACGTTCCTGACCTTGGAGAGCAGCTGAGACAGTTCGCTCCATGCTGGCCGCAGGGGGAGGAGAGGGCCCTCAGATGCTTTCTAGGAGGCACTGGATTGTTCCCTAAGAAGCTTAGACCCTCTCCTAACGCCTCAATACTTAAGTGGGGGGTCCCACCCTCCCCACACGTGTGATGTTCCCATAACACTTTGTTCACTCTCTTCTTAATCAAAAAGTCAATGGTTCTGCTTGCATGGGAAAAGCTCTTTATTTGGATATTGATTCAGCGCTGGCGGACTACTTGGCTTAAAATGTAGATGTTTCATGGTAGGGATGTCAAAGAAATCCTCAATGGACTCAAATGAGTTTTGGTTTCCATGAATCCGACCTGGAGATTCCTCAGCAGACCGGATTACACGGAAATGTGATTTGTGCTAATTCGCATTAGCACAAGTGTGAATTTCTGCAAGCCTGCATTAGTCCGATTGCAATTTATTTATTTATTAGATTTCTATCCCACCCACTAGCCAAAAAAGGCTCTCTGAATGGGTTACTAACTATTTATTTATAATTAAATTAGTGTTAATACAGATGCATGCAAACAGGATGAAATTCTGTAACAAACAAACAAAAATTGATTTTGTCAATGAGCAGATGAGAAAACAAATGACATCTAACTGTCTGCAAAACTCAGCACAAATTTACATTGCTCTCTGATGGCTGACATTTTTAAAAGGATAACCTAGTTTTAAAAAAAAGCCATCTAAGTTCACTTGGGGCCAAGGCAGAGATGAATCAAATGTGCAGTGCTGTTGCCCTACTTTAGAAGTGGGCCTCTTTTATTAGGTTTAGATGATTTCTGGCCAGACATTCTCTATCTTGACTGGGAGGAACTCCAGCCAGACAAGATGAGTTGGACAAATTTAAAAAAAATACAACTCCCCGCCTGAGTCTCCGAGCATTCTGCTGGTGAGAGTTCCACATTTGTTTCTCTTATTCTGACCAACTTGGACCTGCACCAGCATTTTTAAGTCACAGATGCACTCGGATGGCTTCCAGTGGTCTAAAACTGAACAGTAGGCTGCATTCTGTTACCAGGTTCTTCTATGAGGATTCCATTTCACAGCAGATGCAGCTGGACCTTTGATGGCCCTGAAGGAGGTACCTGCATTTTTATTAACTAATTTATGTAATGAGCCCACCCCTCCAAGGCAGTTTGCAAAAACAATATCTGTGATGGTGCAGCGCAGCCTGTCCTGCTGGGGCTCGGCTCATTCCTAGGAGGCTGTTTGAAGAAGGT